CCTCCTCTTCCCCTATTGTATTTCTTTCTGAGCCACTACTTTCCATCACTTCCAATAGACACATGCAGCACTAACACTGCAGCCAAGAGAAATCATCTTTCATAGAAGAGAACCCCAAAAAACTCTAACAATTTGCCATGTCAGAGAGACCTGGTAATAACAAAAGATGTGCCACATTTCCCAAGACTGGGCAGAGCTGTTTCATGTCCCAGCTCTGCTCCAACCTTCCCGTGTGATCTCAGACTAATCGCTTATTCATCTGCACAGGACAGGAAGGCACACCAGACCTTCTCGTGCAAGCTAAAAATGGAAGGATTCTCATTTTTCATGGCAAATGGGGCTGTGTGAGCCCCCAAGACAAAGAATTTTCTTTTGGGCCCTGGCATTCAAAATCCTGCCAAACAATAGCAAAGAACGAAGTACCCTACACCAAACAGTCATACAAGAACACAAAAAAAGAAAACAAGACGGGAAATAGAGACTTCATTGTCAGATAATGCAAACTCAAAGCTGATTAAACTGGAGGCCAACATCAGCTTTTCCTCATCTGCATTCTTCCAGCACACTTCCCTCTGGAGCTCGGGGGGTAGTTGTAGCTATAACGCATTCACTGCTTCACTGACAACATAGCAAAATAACTAGTGTTTTCCAAAAAGACACACTACTTGGACTCCTTTGAGAAAGTCAGCATTTTAACTGACTTCAGTGGGCTGAGGATTGTAATTTCACATCCAAAACAGCTGCTATTCTTGGCATTACAGACCATCCCTTTTCCACCAAAGAAGCTAAAAAGCACACAAAGCTCTGACACAGGAGAGGCTTAAGGTACTTCTGCGGGACTGGAAAGGGTTTGATGAACTGTATATGATAACCATGCACATTCCCATTATGGTACATTTCAGAAATTTATACCCATGCAGAATTAACTAGATCAGAAGTACCAGGTATAGTTGGCTCTTTCTACCGTGCTGTTACCTGAGCCAGAGGAGTTTCCCAACTTGCGCAGTTTTCCCAGGACCTTCTGGACATCCTTTATGCTCGTGTCCTGTTGGCTGTACAAGAGTAACCTCTTGGCATCTGAGAACAGGCGGGAAACACTGGTGACCAGAAAACACAAGAACAACCAGAAGTCATCAGCTCTGTGAGACAGCATCCACAGATACGATTTTACATCCAAATTCCAAGCTTCAGTCCCTTTCAGTTATGCCACTGCCCTCTCCAGCACAATAAGCCCTTTCTTCAGTGACCACCCTGGGACAATCCAAGGAGCCTAATAAAAGATGACTGCTAATGCAAAGTCAAACAAAGTTACATTGGGAACTTCCAGGCATTTGAAAGCATTTATTTAAGACTGGGATGGAGAGGGGCTCCTGCTGCCTGTAAACTGCTTCCTCATAGAAACACAATAAGTTAAATATGTCCTTGCTCCTTTTCAAATGCTTCTCCAGGTTGCAGATGCATTTTACTCTGCATTAAGCCTAACTGGCCAAACAGTATGAATGCAGCAAGCGCAGCAGGGTATAAGGAAGCTGTCCATAAACTGAGCTTTCTGCAACACATTAGCCAGTAATAAATGACAAATGTCAGGAGTATCCCCCAAACCTGGTCTTCAACTGCCCGTCCTCTGAAAAAAGAGCTTATGTCTTGCCTTTTTATGGGCCAAATACTGAGCAACCAAAAAGAGAACTGACCCAGTCCTCACCCAGGCAGAGCTCTTCATTCACCAAGAGCTTCAGCTGCTTGGACTCAGGGGTACCACACATCTACCAGCTCTCTGCTAGCCCCTCTGAACTTGGCAGGTAGCGAGCTTGGTACTTCAGTGGCAGCAGAAACAGCAAAACCCTCGACAGTGTAGGGTTACACAGCTAGCTGGCAACTTCCAAATATCTCTTTTCCACACGTTTTCCCAAGAACAGAGATAAAGAAGAAGCAGGCAGACTCACATGGAGGCATTGAAGTTTCCAACAATACCAGGGGATTCCCCAGGAGTTGGGTAGCGGAAACAAGGGTTGTTGGCATTGCAGATGATCCCCTGTATCCACGGCAAGGTTCCTGCT